TATTAATTGAGCAACAAATTCAAATATTATGAATAAGTTTCCGCGTAGCGTGGAGCGGTGTCGGCCGCAACTGTTGGGGCATCATTATTTAGTCGTCTCGTGTTACGTGTCACGTACATCTGTGACTGTTACTAAAGTGGCGCTCACAAGAACTGATCGCTTCTCTAACGTTACGTTCGTAAAATTTTATCACTCTTTTATCCCTTTCAGAGTACGATGCCCAAGTAGTGCTAATGCACTTTGACTTTGTAAAACCACGAGTGACAGGAATGCGTTAGTACATACTATTACTTCTGATGTCTTGCATGTTGTTACCTACCACATATACATAATGTATGTTGCGCCACCTATCGAGCATTCTGTTTGGTTAAGTACAATGACCTTTTCATTTCTTCCCCAGAATTATTTGAAACGCCATTTTTTACAAATTATATTACAAACTAATGAATAAATTATGAGAAAAAATGACGTAGATCTGCTACGGCTACAACTTTATAATTTGGTCATTAAACAGCAATCCATTGCGATTAATTTCATCCTAATTGGCTGGTACCGAAAGAAATAATTATTCAAGTTTCATAATTTGATATTTAGGGCTTTTTATTAAAACGTTATTTTACAGAAGTCAGTATCTACGCGAATCAAAATTAACGAGTTTAAAATAAAATTTTAATGGCACTTCGTTAAAATTTTATTTTGTCCACTTTCAGTTATCATAGCAGTACAGCTGCAATTAAGTTCAGGTATATTATGACGTTCGTACCGGTTTCCGAAATCGTGTATAATTAATCATTTAATTCCGACAGCCACAGAATTAACATACACTTCAAATTGCCAATTCTCTGATAACGGGATACGTACTTGAGTTTGTTCGGCAAATAAAGTTAAATAGGGGGAAAGTTTGAATAGCCGAAGATTTGATCGGAAGAGGGAAAGTCGAGTAAAAACAGGATACAGATTAATTGGACTAGTAAGACAGTAGCAGGTTCATCCTTTTAGCCAGTGGATTGATTAGACGCCGTCGGCACGGTAATTAATTAGACGCATCCGGTTCTATTCCACTTTTTGTCTCGCAGGGTTTGATTAAATTTTTCACTTCGCAGCCAATAAGTTGGATGAAGCTATTAATTTACTGACACCTCATTAGCCATGGATATTAGGCAGACGAGTTAAATAAAGTAGCGCTATTACTCTTCTTGAAAGTGAACCTAACCGCCTACCGCTTTCGAAATTTTCTGCCCTCTTAACATATGTATTAGGTAAGTGAACGGGTATGTTGAAGTTCTAAGAATCAGATAATTGCTGTGACAGAATTTAGTGCTTTATTTCGAATGATGAGAACTAGGGGACTTGTTGTAAACACCATTAACTTCACACAAATATTTTCAATACCACAAATCAAATCAAATCAAATCAAAATCATTTATTCCAAATAAACCATAAATAGGTACTTTTGAAACGTCAAAAATCCACGTTCATCTTGTCAATTAGGTGCATTGGTTAAGCTTTAAAACTCCCTGCATATTACTTATTTGGGACCCCGTAGATCCATTTTCCTGCTAACGTCTGATGAAGCAATGAATCTTCTTTTCACGTCTGCTGTTATCTTCCATCAGGTCATCATTATGACGTCACGTGAGTAACTGTGCGATGATCCAGTGTAACTGTGGCTTATCTTCTAATAGTGATTGATATATTAACCTCTGAGTGATGGGAATGGGTTATGTATGTGTCATATTATTTTGTTCTAGTACATAATGTCATATTGAAAATAGGTTATTTTATAAAGTAGTTGTAAATAATTATTCCCTATTTTATATCTATACTTCTATACTAATATTATAAAGAGGTAAAATTTGTAACCCTATATGTTTGTAAGTTTGTATGTAGGGGGTAATCTTTGAAACCGCTGGTCGAATTCCCAAAATTCTTTCACTTATATATATAGCTACAATATTCCCAGTGCTATAGGCTATAGAACATCACGCAACTATTAAATGGAGCCGAGCAGCGAGTGAAACCGCCCGGGAGTACCTAGTCTTCTATAAGAAGATATTTAAATGTAGAAGAGCCATGCTTCGACAGCAAAGGGCCATGAAACAAATCTTGCCTTGTATTTCGAGTGAGGCTGCTGGAAGCCCTATTCTTCCCCTCATACCCAACCCTTAAATCTGTGACATACACTCAAAAGGCCGGCAATGCTTGTAACTTCTTTGGTGTTGTAGGTGTCCATGGGTGGCTGCAATCGCTAACCATGAGGTGACCCATGTGCTCGTTTACAACCTTTCCTATAAAACAATAAAACACGATTAGTCAAGCATAATGTTTGGTATATTCGAAGAACTTGGGTCTTCTTGGTACCTCGAGCCTTGTTTAGTGCACTCTTCTGATTTAGTACTTATATATTTCAAACCAACTATATATATAAAATTGACATTATAAAACACTCAAAGAAAAAAAAAAAAAACAATTGTGAACCATAATATCGCCGTAATCACCATCACTCACTCAATTTAGACAGATAGGCAGATCCTTATTATTTTTTGTTTGACAAAAGATCCTTTTGTCGTCGACTTTTCTCCTTAAACTAAGAGTAGAATAGATAAGACCATCGGAAACCTTTTAATATTCCAAGTTAAAATGTTCACTTTGTTATAGGAAGTTGTGACCTAATTACGGACGTGGAATAAAGTTTAACTTCTGTATAAAGAGCAGACTATTTTACTTTTATATATAACAGCTAAATTGTTCTTTTACTATAAATAGTAACTAATGACTAGCCCAGAATTCGAAAGAGTGCAATCCTGATGTTTAGTACCTTCTCTTTTTGATGAATTCCATTACCTTACCTTCCTATTGAATCACTATAGTATATTTATTGGATGTTATTACATACCTCTATATAAATGGTTCAATTACTGTATCTACTTAAAAACCTCATCAAAAAATCGTTGCATGGTTTTATACGATGTAGCGATAGTAAAAGTTGCATAGTCATGATTCAGTAGATGTCGGAGGCCGGAGTGATGACTTAAAGTCGCTCGACTGGAGTGATACCACGGCCTCACAGAAAACCAGCGTGAATCAACTACAGCGTTGTGTTTCGCCATATGAGTTAGGTTACCGGAGTCCAAATCCATGTAAGACAATGTTTTTTCCGTTCTGTTTCGTTCCGTTTGTTTATTGTTTTAAATAGTCGTTCCTATTGGAGTCAACATTGTTCATATAAAGTTTAAAGTGACCAAAACCTAAAAACAGTAATCCAGACTTACATGATTGTTACCACAAAACCAATCTCACCCCAGCCAAAAACGCAATATTGGTCGGTGACTATATCTCCAATAGAGCCCAAATACGGAACTGAGATAGGTCACGTCACTACGTTCGTTCAATCAATGCGAATTCAAAACTTTGATGGCACTACTAGTTCCGGCGTCCCGCGTACAACTTTGGGTTATGGAGATTGTATGAACCACTGGTGTGAGACTGAGAGACTATAGTCTCTCATGTGGTAAGTTTACCTAGTCTAAAATGAAAAGTACGGATTACTTTTTTATTGCCTTTTATTAGGTTTTGTGTGAGCACGTCTTTTTTTGAAAATAGTGACTTGCGTGATATTTTTCGTTTAGTTTCAAGTCATCACGGGACTGTTAATCGTGATTATTAGACTTTTTCTCATATAATTCACGTATGACGTAAAAGGAATATGTTTTTTCTTTTTTGACATGATATTATGTTGCGTGCCAGCTAGGACATCAAAGTGGTTTTAAGTAAGTAAAAGTCTGAGACAGAGTCTCATTGCCGGGTGAAGGTGTGTTCCATGAGACTTTAGATAGACTTGATTTGATACGATATTGTTAAATTATTTTTGTATCATTTACCTGTTGATCAACAAGCTGATAATTAATTATTATGTTTTCGGCCATGCTAGAGGCCCTGTCGCCGAGTCGCGTGTCGCGGAATGCTGCTCGTGAATATGGGCCTCTAGCATGGCTTGAAACTAGTCGAGTATCTCGTCAAATTATTACGTGAGTAAGCCGAAAACATAATAATTAATTTAGAATGTCTCACGAAAGTTATCAGCTTATGATAATTGGTTTTATTGAATTTCCCCGTTTGACGATCTTATCTGTGGGGAAAAAAACAGGGGTCTTGTAAGTTTCTTATGTAATTTATGTAAATATATAATATTATCTTTGTTGTACGCATAATATTATTTATCTTTTAATCAAAACAACCTTTGTACCTATTATAAACACAATATCTACTGACGTAATAAAACAATATTTGTATATATAAGAAGCAGTTTAGTTTTGCCCTCTCAACGAAAATTGGAGCTCAATTTTGAATGGTTTTCGTTTGTGTTGGAAACTTGTAAAGTTGTGTAACTTCTCAGGTATACCCGATAAGTATTGACATAGTCTGCTGCATAGTTAATGCGTCTACTTTTAGTAGTTTTGTTCATAGAAAATTATAAATTACTCAAACACTTGTATTTTAATTGTTGACCATTCACATCCTTCGTATCCTCCATGTTCCATTACTAATGGTTTATTTAAAAAAAAACTAATGACTTCTTCATCTCTACGTGGGGTGAGAGGGAGTGTCAGACTTTTACTGACTAAAAACTCTGCTCCTGCTTCAGAACGTGGCCGCAGTAATCAATAATAATACAACAAAATATTATTTTATTCATGCTTTATTAGTATTTATATTCATATCTTATTTCCCTACTTACGTTATACCAATAATTAATGAACTAATTTACAATATTATCTTCAATGTTAGCCTAAACATTATACTTGCTTACAAGTACATATTTACCTCAATAACATTTTGTCATGTACAATAGTTAGTTTAATAAATAAATAAAATATAGGCAGCTTGTAACATTAACATATTTACATTGTACGTTTGGCTAGTATAATAAATCCTATATACCTAATGAGTTTTATAAAATGCTTTACTCATATTTTGAATATCAATTATTCCTAAGTAATGTGAATTATTGTCTAAAATGAGAATTTTATATTTTTATCTCGATCTAATAACACAAAGATTCGTATTGGCCGGTGACCAGTATTACTGATGAAATCGAATAATGATAGTTGATACTCTATCTAGTTCACTAGAATAGGATTTTTTGCGCTGCCTGCGCCATCTCCTTCACTTTTACTCGATGTACTTTGCCGGAGGGCGTGACGGGTAATGAATCTACGAAGAAAAACCCGCCGTTCAGTCGCTTCCCTTCCATGTTCTCTGTAACAATAAGTTAGGAATTGAGTAAGAACAAAATTGTTTAGTCGTGTGGCTAGCTAAGTAATAAATTTGAAACGTGTGTAGTCTTGTGAACGGCTATATATTGTGCCACCTGCGCCACTGCATACGAACTACGCACGGCCGGCGGAGATACATTGAGCTTGGTCATGCATTCACAACCATGATTGACACACAAAGCTCCGTTTAGACTACCATTATAATAAATTACTCTGCCCAACCGCTCAAGATACAATTATAATGGCAGATTTAGCAATTATTTCCTTGTTATTTGATTTCGTCCTTATGATTTCAGAATTTGATATTTCGTAGAAAGATGTAAATTAATTACGGCCGAAGAGAATTTGTAAATATTATCTCAAATACCAAGCCTCGAGGGGATAAAATAAGTTTGCTAGCTTTCACATCCATCATCAGTTGATACTATCAATTTATATTTTAATGTACATTTTATTTAAATTTTCTATTTAGACTTTAAGAGTGGTTTTCATGTCTCAAAGATGTATAATATTAAATATAGATAGTTGGATGTACTATCGTAATCTAAGAATTAACAGCGATTCATCAAAATGAACAAGTTAGGTATATCAATAAAAACATTCAATGAAGAGTTGGCGCCTTTGTATCGATCATCCAATTTTTTTATGAGAATGTGCCTAAGCCTTAGCCCATCTATAGAAGGTATCAGGAATTCATTACTTGTAAATACAAGTTTTTGTGTTTCTCTCTTATTGCAGGTTCTCATATGAATGAATCGTATTTCGGATAAAAAATTATACTCCGTCACTACGAGTATCATTTTATTATTAGCAATTAACATGATTGTACTTCGTAGTCCAACTGCTACTGCATTTTCTTTATAATTTAGTGATGAATTATGTACAAAAAACATGACGCAGAATGAGAACATTTCATATTTTTGCCTGGATTTCGTTGGTGCAAACGAAAATTTCAGTATTCACGGCTATAAGTTATTTCGCAAATGAATTTTATTACTGCGCAATGTACGGACCAACTGTTACACAAGTAATTATGATGCTCGATATGAGTTTTCTTGAATTTTCATCAAAAGTATACACGGATTAAAGATGTGAAGGCTGTCTCAATAAATTATTTGGATCCTGACTTTTAATTTAAGAAATACAAGGAATATCTCTGCTTATTTAGATTTAGATGTTGTTATATTTTAATCTTTGCAGATTTTATATGACTAACTTTTGTTAAGAAGAAAACGTATCAAACAAATCATTAATATTGTGAACCTTGAAAGACTTTATAGTGTATTATATCTTTTCTGTGTACCCACTCTTCATTACACGATTAGAACAATGAACCTTTCATAAATGGGACATTTTAGTAATTAGTTTCATGACACCACACACCTAGCTATCAACTTATCGTTGGCACTTAAGACTGATATGATTAGTCAATTTATTAGAGCTATCTATAACATCCAATTAATCTATGTCAATATCATATTTATTGCATCAAATAAAGATGATAGTTAACGATTATCATAAAAATCACACGTTTTCATCAGTACTGTTCAACGTAAACAAATTTTTAATGGAAAAGTATTTGGTTTAATTTGATAATTAATTCGTTTATCTGATACGAGAAAGATATTATAATGACGTATTTGGGTCCGGGACCGTCAAAGTAGATGTAGATTTTTAATTAGTCAAAGTATTTAGGTAGTATGTTTTGTCTTGTATTTGAATGTGTGTCTTAGAAGTAATCTATTAATCGATTTAAGTAATATAAAATTATTATGTTTTAAGGTATACTTACTTCTCAATAAGTCGGCGATCTCTTGTGTGTCAACTTTATCACCATTTCTTCTCTGCAGGGCAAAAACAGGCAGTTCGGTGCAATCGAGTTGTGGTAGACTGACCGCACAGACATCTACTACGGATGGGTGACGTCTGATAATCTCCTCCATTTGTAATGGCGAAAGCTGTTGACAAAACAATTCATTGTGAGCATTTCAAATTGACCATTTGCATCTTTATTACTGTCTCTGTTATCTGCGTATTTGGAGTTAAAATCGATGCATTATTTATAAACAATAGAACTGGTTCATTCCAGAAATATATATTTGCACCAATTGGCATTACATTCATAAGAACATTAGTAATACTTGGCCATGTAAAATTAATTTGTCTGCAAGAATGAGTACGGCTTGAAGCGTTTGATAAAAACGTAACCAGTTCTGAGTGGCTGAGTTCACAGCTTCAAAAATGAATGAAATTGTTCATGCGAGAAAGTCTTTTTTAAAACGAATGATATTATATTTTTTTAATATCAATTAACAAAAGAAAGTGAACAATGAATTCTATTTGTGTAAGGTGGAGCGATGTTGTTACGGCGAAGTCGAAATGCAGACGGCAAGGATTTCGGAGATATTTTTCTTGCGAAATAAGACTTAGTTTTCTCTTGTCGCATATCAACCGACTCGAGACACTGCTCCACTGGAATGAATCAGAGCGTGAGAGAAATAAGTCTAGCTAAGTTTACGCTGACTGAGTTTTCGCCTTGCATTATTTTAAAAGGTTTTAACTCAACAATATTCCTAGAAAACGTATAGAGCGATTGGGACAACTGGTTGCATCGCCGTTTTTACGCATCATTAAGACTTTTAATTTCAAAGCGCATTTGATTCTCTGAAATTAGTTTATACTTTGAAGAAATCTCACGTTTGGTGAAAATTCTTATTAGAAAAAGTAATTAAATGGGGGCTAATTAAAAAAGGTAAAAATATAGTTACCAGAAAACCGTAGTGCTTAATTAAAAGTCTCTTGCGCTCCACAAAGTAGTAATAATCTTGCTCGTCCTTGTAGAACATGTCTCCGGTTTTGAACCAACCGTCGTCAGTCAACATGGTCTTCGTCTCCTCAGCATTGTTTAGATAACCCTGGAAATTGAGTCACTTTAAATAAACGTTCTTTTGAAAGAAGATTTTCATCAAAAACATTCGGGGAGAATTCTTTGTGTCCTAAGTAATCTTAATGGCTCAACATGGTATTCAGAATAATATGTTTTCGATAATATTCATTTGATGTTCAAAAGAAAAACGGTTCTTCATACAAATGCACTGATAACTTAAGAACCGCAAATATTTCAAAAGCAAATTTTGTGTAATATTTGTGAAGGGGATTTTCGTATTTTTAGCTCCAAACTAGGTACTATAGAAGCGTGTTTTGTATATTTTATTGAGTAAGTGTGTCGAGACCGAAGCAGTATTATAGCGTCAGTAAATTATGGATGTATATTCATCCTTGGGGCATTATCATCCGCAGCCCACGGCTTAACTAACGGTTTACCTTTTTAGGGATTGAGTTTCTGAGAATATTTCTCATACGTTTTGCGTAATGTACAACTTAATACTATTTTTGGGTAACAAATTATCGACTTTTTTGTATAAACCACAGATAAGGACTCCCAAAAGCTTCATAACTTACGTTAATGTGTACATTAATTTATGCTAGTTTTTATACTTATTTAGATTTTTATTCTTTTTGGAAACTCTTTATTATGTCCAGACGTTACGAATGACATTGGATATATTACAACGAATTCTCTATATTGAAAAAGAAAAGTCTGATAATATACTTTGTTCTTACCTTGAAGAAAGCATCTCCCTTAAGCCACAGTTCACCTGTCTTGTATGTTCCTTCCAAAGGTTTTCCATCATCGCCCATGAGCTAAAAAGAAATCATTATTAGAATGTGTTGATATTATTTGAATATGTATTTCTTTCTATATTCACAAATAAAATTGACCATATTATTGATAACATTTCACTAACAACCACGTATATCTAAATAATTTCAACGTTTCTCAAAATTTCGCATTACTGATAACTAAAACTGCCTAACTGTTTGTCCATTCAAATTTCCCGATATTTGTTTACATATTTAAGGCAGGAAATGTGTATGTATATTCAATTCAATTAAGGGGAAAATACGTACCCTGAACTGATACTGTGACTGAGGCTTGCCGGTCGATCCGAATGGAGTGTTGTCGTTGTAATCGAAGACAGGTACCAACAATTCTGTCATTCCATATACAAGATACATGAAGGCACCGCACACTTTCTGTAAATAAACAAAAGTTTAAAGAATTATAAATCAGTTTATTGTTTTTTAATTTCGAAAATTCCCCAAATCTAAGGGTGACGTTTTTGGAATGAGCTAGACATTTATGAATGTTACACCAATGGCGCATTTTTCGCACCAAAAAACTTCAACTGTATGTAAGTAATTCGTATAAAAAAAAACATAATTTTATTACATTCTGATCCATTAAAACAATTACAGTCGCACAATTCTTTTTACACTATAATACAATTACACTTTTCTAGGAAAAATATTCAGTTACTACAAGTTAAAACTTAATAGAGACGAGATTATCTACTATATATTTCTTTTAGAAAAATATAAGGCGCGGATAGCGAATATTAAATTAAGATAGAAATGACAAGAATTTCTATATCATTTGTATATAGTAACTGTGACAGTTGAGTACAAGAGCTTTCAAACCTGGATACACTAGTTGAGTTAAAAAAAAAATTTAGATCTTTGTCAGGACTACCCTACTATATACATGACTCATTTGTGCCCACCATAACAAGGATCTTATTCATTGTAGTAACTGCTATATATTATTGATCCCTACATAACATATTTTACGATATTACTTACTTTAAATCTGTCCAATAATGGTTTCTCGATAGCACTGCCTCCAATAACAATGTATTTGAAACACGATAAGTCACAAGTTTTTTCGCCGAAATTCAGAAAGTGGCCCAATAAATATGGGGTAAACGCTGTCGTGACGGGCTGAAATATTATCAGAATATGTTTTAATATCAGTAGGTAGAAATCACAGTAGCAACGTATTATCAGGTGGCTTAAATGTAGCACCTGGATCTTATCGGTTATTGTATTATCATTATAATTACCCTGTGTTTGTTGATAATTTGGACGAGTGTCATTGGGTTTAGTGGTTCGGATGCCTGAACCCTGGTGGAGCCCTTCAGTGGGCCGGAAATGAAGTAGATTAGGGATGATACCCATTGCAATGTTGCCATAGCCAAAATGCTTTCCACTTTGTCTGGGAAGGGTTCCCTGTAAAGAAATTGTATTAATTTAACAAATTTTCTAAAAATGATCTGTTTTAGACTGATTTTGTAGTAAATGTTTAACAAAGTACAGTCCCGAGAAATTTGTAAAGTTTTTAAATCACACTTGTATAAACTTCTTGAATGTTTAAGTGCGAGTATAAATGATAAATGTTCGATTTGCTGGAGCTGTGCGGTGAGTCCCAAACATTTAGTTTTGGACAGAACTTCAACTAATACCATTAATTTATTATTTACCGATATGCGATGTTTCGAACTAACTAAACTTGCAATAAGTTTCAGAGCATGTTCGCTGTAACAAAGTTCCGAGGGCATCTCCTTGTAATTAATTGATTAGTAATATGAATTGATTTATGAGGATCTAACATATGATAGGCCTCTATACTACAAATTGCTATAAACACCTACAAACCATACTACTCACGTATAGTAGGTATACAGTTTTTATACCTATACATATATCAATAATACGAAACAGATTTGTAAATGTTATCATGAAAAACCCTACGGCAAAAGAGGTGACATCATTCTATATTATCATTTAAATCGTTACAACATTTTGAATTATGATTGTTTGGCAAATTAATGATTCAATCGCTAAAACAGGCGACCGTTATAATCCGCCGCGCCCAAACTAATCGGCCAGTCAAATGACTAAGCCGAGGATTTTGATTTTAATTTATTATTTATCACTTTTACATATCAGTGTTGTATTTGGTTACGCTAAAGCCTTTCCTTTAAAAAGATAACATGTGACACATTTTACTTAGAAAGATTAAATAAGTAGGTAAGAGTTAATAAATCCTATGTTTGATGTATTTCTTGTTAGATTGAGTCTGAGTTTTGGTAGGAGTCGTTAACTTACCACCAGCTGATAATTCCATGGAGCAGTGTATCAAATGGGATAATGGCGACCTTCGGTAAGCCTGTGGTACCACTGGTCAACATCAACCAGGCAGTAATTTTGGAATGGTCGAAAGTGGCTGGCCTGAAAAAATATCATTAATATTAAAGGAAAATTCCTATAGTCTTCAAATCATATTTACTATATCACGCACAGTTTTTAAGTAGGTACCTACAATTTATCAATTACTACGAACTAATCAGATTTATGAATGGTCGTTTCAATATTTTTCTGTACATTTTTTAATCGTAAGTTGATAATTAAATAGATTGCCATGTTTCGTCAGTATTATCTGAATTGATCTTTTCTAATAAAACACGTATATAATATTGTTTCTAGATGGTTCTTTATTTACCTGTAGTCAACGTCGGTGCCATTGTGCTTCTCAATAAAGGCCTCAAGATCAGATTTTTTGTCATCAAATATGACGATAAAGCCCTCGAGGTTGTTAGCCTTGAACGCTTCACGGACCTTTTCTTCGCAAGATTTCTGGCAGAAGACTATTTTGGGGAAGATGTATGGGAATAATCTGACCAGATCATCTGGAAATAACAAGAAAATTATGAATAAGATTCAATAAGTAATGCTCAACCAGTAAAAAAAGCATATCATTAAAAAAACACTCTATCATGGATTATTGTTTGAAGTTGCTTACTTTTGCCAACACTGGGATCGATAGCGCACATGGGGTATCCACCAAAGTGGCAGGCGAAGTATGGGATGCAGAGGTCCAGGTGGTTGTGGCCCATGACAATGGCGGGGTCTCCAGGCTTCAAACCAGCATTAACCATGGCACTTGCGAGACGGCTTGTGCGCTTAGCCACTGATCTATTGGTTTCCTCTTTTGCCGTGGTAAAGTCGATCTGGAAATTATTGATAAATTATTTATTGGGCTTATTTATCGAAGAATTATAATAACTTGTGATATGAGAAATTATTTGGCGAGATTTCTAAAAAGAGGTTGACATTAATGTGACTTCTGTAACCATATTTCTTGTGTCAGTTATTTTCATATAGTTCACTGGACGTTGCCAGATAAATTGGTATCGTTCGAGGTTTCTTAAATTAGCAGTTGTTTACAATAATAATAAATTATGCGAATTAAGAAAGACTTCGTAAAAGTAAGATGTAATTAAGAAAATGCAATATAAGAATTACGTTAGGCACTACAAAACAATTAGGTTAGAAGCAATTAACTTTTCTAGATCGTGACTCAGAAAAAATCCTAATTTCGAGATTAAGTTTTCGGTTGATTAATTTTGTACTGAAGCTGGTTTCGGAAGAAAATTATCCGACATTTTTGTAGTGTAAATAAAAATTAAATCGTTTGTAATTAAATCCTTATGAAATATAAAAATCCTTATAAATTTCAAAGAAAAGCAGAACATATTTATATCGAAACACGTTTTAATTTATCTTTTATTGCTTTAATTTTAATTCAAACAAGCTGCTTCTTAGAAAATGCAGACAATTAATTTCTAGAATTTATAAAACAACATTCCCAATTAAAATAACATTTATATCTGAAGAATAAGAATATATTGGATCAGCCAGATTAAACAAAGCTTATTTTTGTAACATTGTTATACAGAGTGTTACAAAAATAGCCTAGAATCGATAGAGGGTGGTTTATTTAGCAACAACTAGGAGTAGGTTTTCTAGTACTAGGTTGTATAAATGAGCAAATAGTTCATATACTACGTGAGTTGTGAGACTGTGAACTATGAACGTGAACACGTATTCCTTACTGAGTTATTTCAGTTTTACCGCAGTTTGCTTCCACTTTATTACTTTACTTTTAAATTTTTTATCTAGCACTTCTAAATATTAGTTTCGTGATTTCTCATCTATTCATATTTTAAATTTTCCTTTTTGGCAAGTCCCGTGATAGATCCTTAGATATTGTGGAATCGGCTTACAATTCTGCCAAAAGGTTTATTTTTGGTTTTGACATTCATAGTTAACTTATATAAACGGCTGAGAACTGAGAGTGTGGGGAGATTCTTTATGTCTTCGTGGAAAAGCTGCTATGATACTGTGTATCAGGGACGTATTGTCAATAAATCAAAAGTATTCGAAATATTCTTCATAGAATATGATCATGTACTACATGAGTAAAAGAAGTGGTTGACACTTGTGTGCGTTAAAAATGGTATTCTTTGATTCCCCGAAAGTTCTTTTTGGCAGGTCACCAACCTAGTATTAACTCCTTTCATCGAATTTTCACCGTGCAAAGTAAACAGTTTTCATTTTAACTAGAATCTGATTAATCGAAATTGCTCTCATGTTTCTCTGAATAATTAATAATTTAAGATAATGTAGGTAATTGGTAATAGATACTTTGTGTAATTAATCATTAAAAAGCTCTCCACGTTTTCACTTGGAGCAAATTTAGACTTTGAGTGTTATAATAGGTTTTGCTTTTGAATGAGTGTAGGTTGGATATTGGATCAAGATGAACATATAAAGTATACCATCCTTAATAGCTATATGTATACACAAATGTCCTTACCTGGCAGATCATGTCTGGGTCCTGCAACATGGACTCCAGAGCGATGTGGCCAATGTGGACCTCCTTCTCATCAATCTTGTACCGTTCAGAAGCACTCTTCTTGAGGCGGGCCACACGGCTGGTGATTCTGGTTTTCGCGTGTGCGTCGGCGGTCATTTTGTCAGATATTTAACACCTTTTATCACACGAAGTAAATTCACAAATTTATTATTTGTATTGAATACAAATATTAATGAGCTGTACCGGGTAGTGGCCCCTTTTTCACTAATAAATTATTATCAGTGCAAAAGCCTTTATATATGTTTCACCCGTAATTTTTATCTGGACAGTGATTGCGTTATAAATTTTGATCCGTATCTATTAATGCTCTATAGCTACACGATAATGGTGATAACAATATCTTCTGTGAGTCTTCAAATCGTGCTTTCGTCACTCGTTAATATGTTCAAGGTAAACAAAGAGAAAAGTTAATATGAGCGACCAAAAATATGGTTTATTCGGCCATTTTTTTGTATCCCGTCCGTCAAGTGTCATGCGGGGATTGCGGCCCAGAGGATTTGGGACAATAAAGCCATTATAAAGATGTAAGCTAAAGCAAAAATGGTTCCTATTTTTAATGAACATGCGGTTTTGTGTCAGTTTAATATGAAGCAATACTTTAATTAGTCGCAATGTAACGTTTTAATTACAACAACAAAGCGATAAAGCAATGGCTGCGTAATTAGATTTACGCACAGCTATCTTCGTTAAATAATACTTTAAACTGCCGTTTGCATTTTAATGTTTTTTGTGCAGTTCGGTGTCAGTTTTCATCATATTATTATGAACAATTTCGTAAAGACAGGCTGGTACAGGCTTTCAGTATTTCGCTACATCTGATGTAGCAAGATAAATGATACGGAGGGAAATAAATCGTAACAGATCTGTCCAAAAATGAAGACAATAAATGAACATCCATTTGTTTTTTTCACTGACATTAAATACACTCGTGCCAGCTTTTTTTGACATATCATTTTTTATGTTACATTTCTGTGATATTCAAACGATGTCAAGATAATTGTGTATCAATTGGGAAATTTTCTGCATGCTTAAGTATGACATCAACTACATCAATAAATGATGTGATTAATTCGACGAGCAATGTGATCATGTAAGTTGGTACGAACATGTTTCAAGAGATCTTATAAAGTAAATTTTGATATGTATATACGTCAGTATAGTTCGAAAGTAGATCAAACATTAAAAACTAACCTTAAATCTTTTAAAAACAAAAAAGCAGGAAGTAATTAACGATTCTTATATTATGTTCATTCATAGATTATAGCGGTCTAGCAACGAAAATATCGTCAAAATTATACCTATTACAAAGTATTGTTATCGTATAGACGTGGATATTTACACTCTACACCATTAATTACAAGTAAGATACCTCTAATTGCGCAGGTCCTTGACGCAATATCGGTTTATTGATAGTCAAGTTTCACGTCCACTAGTGTTTTTCTATCATTTTCATAAAATTTTATGTAAAACCGATATTTAAGTTTATTTTGTAACACAAACAACAACATAACATTTATTTATTGAAAATAATGACTTTATTACGTGAATTAACTGAGAAAAGCTCGACTAGTTTCAAGTCACAGCGGGGCTCTTATTTACGAGCAACGTGCGCAGCGTGGCGAAATCAACATCGACTAAAACTGTTAGTCGTTATTTTCAATAAATTAGAAAAAATAGTATAGTACATACATATATATATACGTACGTATAGTACATATGTCTCTCTATAGTAACAATTAAAAACAAAACATACTTACGAATTAATGGTTTATGTACGAGTAATGACGCCTAATTTGGTTAAGTAAATGTGTGGGTCCTGTTCACTGGAATCCAATGACATATTAAGCTATAAATCTTATTTGAAATCTGTCATGTGACTAATGTAATACAGGTTGATTAACTTGACTGATTAATTTGTGTAATTATGTTTTAGAAAAGTTAATCGTTACTTGGTTATAGTATTATATTACAAAATCAAAATCTTTGTTTTGAAGAGTTGGTAGTGGGGAATAATAGTCTTCATATTTATTATCATCATCAGCCAAAACATTAGGCACTACTCCTACTTCTGAGAGAGGTATAAAAATACGTAGTTGTTGTTAGTCGTATGTTCAATTAAGTTTACAATTATGAGCCTAAGAATTCTTCACGCCGGAAGTATCAGTGTAAAAACATCGATAAAAATCCTAAATTAAAATATAGAAAAATCCAAAAATAATATATCAATCTTTTGCGCTGGCGACCTCCAGACTTACAAGGCAGTCTGTGAATAAGACAATTAATAATATTAAAGCCTTATCTCTTGTATCAATTTATCGGCAGGAGCAGCAGTTCAACTCCATAAACATACCACGCTGGCGAAGCCGCGGGCTAGAATAAGTCATCCAAACGGCTTCACTCCCTTGTTACGTTTCAAATGACCGGGACCATGTGATCCCGTGATTCTTAAAGTCACATAAATAAAGAAATTCGATGACAGTAATGTTATGTCTCATACATAAGCTACAATAAAGATAAAGTATTATTATATTAACGATTTAATTTATTTTTAAACATTTTATTGTTTTATTACATGATATAAGTGGATTATTTTATATACTTTCGAGTATTGAATGAATTACTCATACTAGTCATAGTTATCTATTACATTACTCATTAAGGCTATTTTGTTATAAATGAAACAAGGACGTGTAAGTGCTTTGTTAGAGATAATATTATGATTCTGATTTCGTTGTTTTTTTTAGAATGCTTGTATATAGGTATACTGCTTTGCACGGTATCATTTAGCATTTGCTGAAATTGTGAGAGAGCCAAGTTTCGGCACGAATGGGTCGGCTTGACCAGAGTGATACCACAACCTCACAGAAAACCCGCGTAAAACTACCACAGCTTTGTGTTTTGCCGTGTGAGTGAGGTTGCTGAAGACCCAATTCTTAGATGAATATCCAATAACTTTATCTCTAAAAGGCCGGAAACGCACTTGTAACACCTTTGGTGTTGAGGGTATCCATGGCTGGCGCTCATTGCTTACCATCGGGTAATCTATCTGCTCGTTTGCCGACCTATACCATACAATAAAACAAAAGTTTAACTTAGGAACGATGTTCTTCCGAAGTCGGTTACTAAAACCTGCCCTTAGTCATGTCTTAAGTAAAAGTAAGCATTATAACTCTGAGTACGACGGTAACGCTAGTGATACACCCAGTCAAAAACCTTCACAAACCAGTTCGTACTTGTACTTATTGCCTTCACTTCCTATTAAATAAAAATCAATCAAATTTATCAAATGAAATGAAATGAAATGCCGATCCATATCTGTATGTGTTTTATGATTATTTGAATGTTCTCCATTTATATCTTGAGGCCATTGTCTCTATTTCCATAAAAGGGTAAGATTATGTACGATATTGATACTTATATATGTCTTGTTACATTATCAAAATTTACAGAGGCCTTCATACATAACCCTTGCCTGGAACATGAAAATTAGTGCCTTTTGATGATATATAAGTTTCAAGACCACGGTAATACCGATTAAGGTTACAACGAAAGGGTCAGTTTCAGCAATAAATTAAAGCACACATCGATATTCAAATTATTCAATAACTAACAATGTTTATGTTCCTAACAAAAAGGTATTTTAAACCCTAATTCAATAGAAATTAGTGCCAACATTGTTTACACTTCTTTTAAAATATTAATGTTTCTATCAATTAGGTGCATAATTCTCTACTATTATCTACTGGTATGCGTAAAAGTATTATTCTTAATTCTTAATACGTCCGAATATCCAATAACGTTATCAAATAAGAGGGTAGCTTAATCTTGGACGTCATTACAATCAGTGTGATCATGGATAATTGATAAATTCGTTGCAGCTAAGCAAAAATAGCAGCTGGTCTATTATAAATTAATTATCTTTATTCATTAAGCAATACACACAACGCTGAAGTGATTCCAGAAATTTCGATCAATTTAAACGAAGTTATTCTAAATTTAAATAAACAATTAGAAAGTTTCCCTTTAAATTCAGGTGCGCACGGCGTCTTATTAGTAATTTAGTATTTATCTATTAGCAATAATTAGCTCCAAAAGTGGCTGAGAAAGATCAACAATGTCGGATGCGCGCCGCCCAGGATCGAACATAAAACTTTAATGAGTTTCGCCTCTTCTTGTTATCTTAAGGCAGGTTCAACAAAGTTTTACGTTGTTCTGTTTATTGAACATAGCACAGTTTGCCCACAACTCAATATGAAATTATGTTTAAGTTTTAATTAACGGCCAGAATAAACTTAATTCAATTTGTAGTTTGGACAGAACAAACCGTTTTGATGTAACTGCTTGCTGCTTTAAATGTTCAGGTTCCCCTTATAAATACATTCTTGTGCTAAGCATAACACCTCGACTTGTTAACAGTAACCTTACCTTGATGCTTTATTTCAAATTCAAATTCTAAATTTTGTTTAAAGTTCACAGACACCTGTAAAAAGTTTAACCGTTAGTATTGATTGCTGATTATATCTATATGTTTGCTTAAGGAGGATGCTTAAGCCTATAAGAGACTAGTTTCTTAAGTGAAGTTTTGTTTTTTTATGTGATCGGTCGGCAAACGAGCAGACGGGTTACCCGATATGGACACTCGCTGACACTGATTTGGATATTTTTGCATTGAGGAAGGATTGGGTCTCTGGTAACCTCACCCACACAGCGAAACACAGCGCTGTCGATGTTTCACGCCGGTTTTCTGTGAGTGTGATGTTACTCTTTATCTCTTTCATATAATTTATATTCATATAATGTTTCTTGTTCCCTAGTTATGTGGGTGTAACCACAGTAGGAACGTTAGTTTCAATATAAGTTTACACGTTTGTCGTCATTTATATTCCACAATGCCATCTGCTCTGGTTTGAACTCAAGTATAGTTTCCACAAACAATATGAAACAGAGTTTTGGTTCCAATTAATGGTCATAGCTGTTTCAATTCAATTTCAGAGTTCGACCAAAGCTGTAACGTATTTCGTGTTGTTTCATGAGTTCGGGTAAAATCAATTAAAATGCTTTTTATTAATAATTAATACTTTCAAAAATACTCATATCGAGGTTGAAATAACCTACATAATATTTCACTACTTATGAATTATTTGAATTTACAATTTTCAATCCCACACAAAATTGTACGTTGCACTCTTTTATCGAA